AAAAAAAAAAAAAAAAAAGAAAGAAAAAAGAATGAAGACCAGGCACAGTGGCTCACGCTGTAATCCCAGCACTCTGAGAGACTGAGGCAAGTGGATTGCTCAAGTGCAGAAGTTCAAGACCAGCTTCAGTAAGAGTGAGACCTTGTCTCTACTAAAAATACAAAAACTACCTGGGAATTGTGATGAGCCCTTATAGGACCAGCTACTCAGGAGGCTCAGGCAGGAGGACTGCTTGAACCCAGGAGTTTGAAGTTGCTGTGAGCAACTCTACTCAATATTGTGTCAGAAGTTCTAGCCAGAGCAATCAGATAAGAAAGAGAGAGAGACAGAAAGGAAGGAGAGAAAGAAAGAAAAAGAAATAAGACAAATGAACTCAAATCACTACTCAAGTTTTATATCTCAAGGAACTAGAATAAATAAGAGCAAACTAAACCCAAAGCTATCAGAAGCACAGAAATATAAGGATTATAGCAGAAATAAGCAACATAGAGAATAAAAAAGCCATAGAACCAATGACATTTTAAAATGGTTCCTTAAAAAAAATTTTATAAATGACAATACTTTAGGTAAAAACTAAGAAAAAAAGATGAAAGACTCAATTTATTAAAATTAGAAATAAAAGTGAAAACATTACTATTGGCCTTACAGAAACAAAAAAATATTGTGAGAATACTATGAACAATTGCATGCCAACAAACTAGATAATACAGATGAAATGAATAATCTTTAGAAAGACATAAACTACCAAAACTGACTCAATAAGAAATAGATCGTCTGAACAGATTTATAACAAGTGGAGAGATTGAATCAATAATCAAAAACTTCCCGACAATGAAAGGTCAGGGGGCCAGAAGTTTTCACTGACGATTTCTACCAAACATTTAAAGAAGAATTAATACTAATCCTTCTCAAAATCTCTCCCCAAATAGGAATGGCCGGATTGCTTTCTAATTCATTATATGAGGTAAGTGTTGCCCTGATAGCAAAGCCAGACAAAGACATCACGGAAGAACTATAGGGCAACATACCTGAAAAATATTGATGCAAAAATCTTCCAAAAATACATGCAAATAGAAATCTACAGCACAGTAAAAGAATTATACACCATGACCAAGTAGGATTTATCTCAGAAATGCCAGGGTGATTCAACATATAAAAATCAATCAATGCAATACACCACATTAATAAGATGAAGAAAGAGAACAATATTATTCTCAATTGATGCAGAAAAAAGCATTAGACTTAAATCAATATCCTCTCATGATTAAAAAACTCAGAAAATTAGGAATACAAGAGAACCTTGTTAACATGTTTAAAGGACATTTACCAAAAACCTGCAGTTAACAGCATATTCAATGGTGAAAGTCTGAATCCTTTTTCCCAGGAAGAAGACAAAGATGCCCACTGCCACCATTTCTATTCATTATTGTGTCGGAAATTCTAGCCAGAGCAACTAGATAAGAAAAGAAAATAATAAAAATAGGCATTCAGATTAGAAAAGAAGTAGTAAAACTATCTTGATTTGCAGATGGTATGAATATATAGAAAGTCCTAAAGAATCCACAAATAGTTATGGGAGTCAGGCACATACACCGAGGGTGGACGGTTCAAACTTGGCCCAGGGCCAGCTAAACAACTGCAACAAAAAAATAGCCAGGGACTGTGGCAGGCGCATGTAGTCCCAGCTACTTGAGAGGCTGAGGCAAGAGAATTGCTTAAGCCCAAGAGCTGGAAGTTGCTATGCACTGTGATGCCACGGCACTTTACCGAGGGAGACATAGTGAAACTCTATCTAAAAAAAAAAAGAATCCACAAATAAAGGATTAGAGCTAGCAAATGATTCCACAAAGTTGCAGGATATAATATCAGTACACGAATATCAGTTATTTATATGATAGTGTATTTCTATACACTAGCATTGAACAAACTAAAAAACAAATTAAGAAAGAAATTTTATTTACAACAGCATCAAACAATAAAATAAAATGCATAGGAATAAATACACCCCTTATTTATTTAAAAGAAGCACAACATTTGTTCAACTGAAACCACAAAACATTGCTAAAAGAATTTAAATAAGACTCAAATAAAGGGAAAGATATTTCATATTCAAAGACTGAAAGACAACATTGTTGAGATGGTTATACCACCCAAGTGATCAATGCCATTCCTATCACAATACCAACAGCCTTTTATTAAGAAATAAAAAAATTGATTCTCTAATTCATATAGAATGGCCCAAATCATATAAAAAGAACAAACTTAAAGGACTTTGTTGATTTGACACTTTCTGAGTTCAAAACTTACTACAAAACTACAGTAATCAAAACTGGGTGGTACAGCATAAGGATAGCCATATAAATCAATGGAACAAGAAAGTGTAGGGAAAACACTTGAAGATATCAGCCTGGGAAAACATTTTGTGAGGAGGACACCCCGGGCAATTGAAGCAACATCAAAAATACACTATTGGGACCTG